TGCTTGCTAAAGTTACTGGGTGAAAGCATGATGGGATATTTTTATAGTTTCAAAATATCTCTTACAAAGAGAAAAACAAACTTTATAATGGAGAAACCTAGATACCAGGTCAAGCATTACATAATCTGTAATGGGGTGTATCGACCGCACCTCCTGATACAATGCACTGGTGGAAAAGGGTGTTACAACATGAGTTCTGTGGTGTTTTTTCCTTCTATTGTTTGTTTTTTATTTTGAAAAATGTATAGATTCATGTACAATTTTGTGAAAAATAGTGTTTCCTTGTCCCCTTTACCCAATTTCCCCCATTGGCAAGTAAGTTACGAAACAGTAGTGCAGTGTGACAGCTGGGTATTAGCATCATAACAGCCGAGATAAAGAACTTTTCCATCACCAAAAGAGCCCTCCTGCTGCTCTAAGGGGGAGCCACACCCTCTTTTTATTTTTTAATTGGATTGTTCATCTCATTATCGTAAGAATTTTTTTCTATATTCAGTTTCTTCCCACAGTCTATGAATATACCGAGTTAATTTGTTAAAAGTTTTAAAATTGTGGTGTGTGTATTTGCCATCTTGACCATTTCTCAGTGTACACAGTTCAGAAGTACCTCGTCACAGCTGTCCATCTCTGCAGCTCTTTGTCTTGCAAACTGAAAACACCCATTAAACAACTCCCCATGCTTCTTATGCCCCAGCCCTGGAAAACAGCATTGTCCGTCTGTCTTTATGAATTTGATGACTCTGGGAACCTCAGAAAGTGGAGTCATACAGTATTTATTTGCTGTGGCTTATTTCACTTAGCATAATTTTTCTCAGGATTCATCCATGTTGTGTCATGTGTTAGAATTTCCTTCCATTTAAAGGTAGAGTGATATTCTGTTTTATATATGTGTATATCCTGTTCACCTGTTGGATGTACTTGGGTTGCATTCCCCCTTTGGACACTGTAAATAATACTGCGATGAGCAAATACCTCTTTGAGACCCTGCTTTAATTTCTTTTGAATATATGCCTAGAGGTGGAATTTCTGGAGCATAAACAGTCTATAGATTTTTTTTTTTACTCTCCTTTTATTTTCTTGAAGGCTGGACTCTGATTATCTTTACTGTTTATATGTTTTAAGTTTTAAAGTTCTCATGCATCTATTCTTTAAATAACATAATAAACTCTTAATTAAGAATGCTGTTTAGAGTATGGTTATTGAATTTCCTGACTAAATGTCCAGAAATTCTTTTGTTTTGGTCCTTACTATTGAACTGTGTTAGTTCATTTTACTCTTATCAAGTACAGTAGAATGGACAGAATTGAATCCCCAATAATTTGTAACATTTCACTTGCAACAATAATAGTTGTGAACATGTGGTGTACCACAGGGTGTACCACAGGGGGAGAAGTTTTAGGGGAGTGGAACAAAATCTTAACCCCTCTACACTGTAGAAAACTAAACCCTTGATGTGAGGTGGTGGTGGTCTTGTGTTTGTTTGTTTGTTTGTTTGTTTGTTTGTTTTGTGGTGGGTCAGTGCTGGGGATGGAACCCAGGGCCCCACTCATGCCAGGCAAGTGGTCTACCACTGAACTATGTCCCCAATCCTATTTTGTTTTTATCCTTCAATGTGCACATAAGCAAATCAAACATATGATTAGCTTATACAGGAAAAGTGGTTACAAGACTTTATTTCCCACGTGGTCTCTACTGTTCTTTACTTCTCTTTCTTCTTCTTTGCATCTGTACCCCAGGTCATGGCTGTCACCCTAGCTGAATAAGCATATTTAACAGACGTCCCTTACAGGAGGAATGGAGTCTGCAGTGCAGGGCACGCCTTCCTTTCCTAGTTGCATTTCTCTTTCCTTTACTATCTGTTGTGGTCACTTCAGACTGCTGTAATGAAGTGCTGTAGATTAGGTGACTTTGTCAATACTTTTCCCTCACAGCCTGGAAGCTGGGAAGTCCAAGATCAAGAGTCTGGCAGGTTCAGTGTCCAGCGAGGTGCAGGTCCTGGCTTGCAGATCCTGAATCGGCACCTGGGGGGGAAAGTGGGGGGCTCTGGTCTCTTCCTCTTGTTATAAGGGCCTTTGGTTCGTCGTGCGGGCTTTACCCTCTGGCCCTCATCTCAACCCGCTGACCTTTCAAGGCCCCACCTCCACTCCATCACACTGGGAATAGGGAATGTCAGCATTTGAAATTGGGGGGCAGGGGGCACAACATTCAGCCCATAGCACTATACCTCATAACAGACAAAAAGAGCTTTGGGGGAGAGGGGACTGAGAAAGAAGAAAAACAGAGAGGAGAAAGACCAAAGAAAGTATGAAGAAGCCCAATAGAGGGAAAGGAAAAGGAGAAGGGCGCTGGGGGCCTCGGCCAGAACAGCAGAGGGAGATTGGGAAGGCCCAAGGCCAGGCCTCACGGCCTCCATCTCTGGACTAAATGCAGCCTTGTTCCCTCAGGGTCTGAGGAGGGTTATGAAAGGCAGGAATGCACTGCCCGCGTCCTCTAGGGCTGTGACAAGATGGCTAAGCCAGAAGTCACTTAGGTGGAATGAACTTCATCAGCTTTCTGGGGCAAGCATCTGTTCACTGAGCCAGCCACAGCCTCAAAGCTCCAGAACCTCTGGCCCAGAGTCGAGGAAACCAAACCTGCATTCCAGTCAATTCCAGTCACGTGGTTCACTGCTGTGCAGGCAGGAGAGGGTAGTCCCACGTCTCTTCTCTCTTCAGTCCTGTCCCCATACACACCTCTAACCCTGAGCTGGAGGATCTGCAAGAAGGCCCGAAGGCCGGCCTCCCTTTTCTCCGCAGTGTCCAGAGGCAGGGTCCTTCTGTGCCAGCTGTTAGAGCTGACCTTTCACTCTGCCTGGCAAATAGTAATGCCTTCTTTTACAGATACAGAGCAATGGAGATACCTGGTGTATTTTAAACAGAGTTCCCAGGCAGATGTGACCGGGTTCATCTAACTTATGTTTTTATCAGACCATAGAGTTTGAGTGATATTTGTCCACGTTTTGAAGCTGACCTTGGGAGCCCAAAGGTGTGATGATTTTACACATGCCTTTTCTATGCTTAAAGATGAAGATATTTTTAGAGTAAGTTAGTTACAAAGAAATTGGGGCATCTAGGGTACTTTTTTTTTATATATACAGGAGTCAAGAAACAAAAAATATAAGCCAGCTGGGTTGATTTTAATAGATCACCTGTGGCATGGATACCACCACATTTCTGATCTGAAGTTGCCATTCTTCTATGGCTTAATTAATGTTAGAAAAAAACCTAGCCTGGGGCATGCCTGTAATACGAGCTACAGGCTGAGGCCAGCCTTAGCAAAAGCAAGGGGCTAAGCAACTCAGTGAGACCCTGTCTCTAAATAAAATACAAATAAGGCTGGGGATGTGGCTCAGTGGTTGAGTGCCCCTGAGTTCCATCCACAGAACCAAAAACAAAACAAAAACTCCTAAGACCATTTTCATTTCAAAAGGCGATTCCATGCAAAGATTTTCAGTCTGACCAAGAACTCAAACAAGGCCACGTGACACACATAATGAGTGGTTTGCCTATTAAAAAGATGCTTATGAGGATACCATGAGTGATTCTTGTCTGGGAGGGAGGTGACCAGTCATAGGAGGTATTGGACAAGGTCTGGCCACATGTGGTATTCTTGCTTGGGAAGGATCCACTGTTGGCATCTACTGAGTGGGTAGAGACCAGGGATGCTGCTGAACACTGTATAGTGCAAGGATAGAACCTGCAACAAAGAATTATCTGGTCCGGAATGCCGGTAGTACTAAGGTTAAAAAGCTGTGTCACAAATATGTGCAAAAATGTTTGAAGCCAGCCTCAGCAGCTGAGGCTCTGAGCAACTTAGTGACAGAGTCTCAAAGGGCCAGAAATGAGGCTCAGTGGCTAAGCATCCTTGAGGTCAATCCCTAGTATGAAAACAAAACAAAACAACCCAAATATGTGCAGGGTATGTGACATGGATGGACTGATAACCCTTCATCTAAATTGGGAAAGACCCAAGATGATGCCCAAGGTTGTGGTTACTGTCTCTGGATTTGGGATGGGGTTATCCACTGATGACTTCTAATGATTTCAAAATAAAAATCTAAGACTTATAGACTGGGTATTTTTCATCTCTATCTCCTTAGCACTTGACACATGGGAGACTTTGTTAAATGTGGAATAAAGAGACTGAGAAAAGGGACTTATTGGGCCAATCCCTTTAGGTCTCACATCCATGTTAACTGTGAGAAGTGTTGGTTGAGGGCTGGCAGCAGAGGGGAAATTCAGGAGGTGAGCTGCTTGGCTTCTGTAAAAACCCTTCAGGTGGCCCCCTCCTGTGCCTGTACGTCTGCTTGGCTTAGGCTACAGTGACATTGGTGTTAGGCTGCAGATGCACTTTGTCTCTAGAGAGATCATTAGTCCTTACCCATCATGGAGGTCAGAACAGTCCAGTAGGCCATTACTTATTAAGTGTGTGTGTGTTCTGCTTCAAACATGGAAAACTAGGGGTTGAGGTTATAGCTCAGTGTTATAGCATGTGCTCCCCATGTGCAGGTTCTGGGTACATTTACTCACACCACCAACAAAACCAAACCAGACCAACAAACCAGCATGGAAGCCTAGGGAGTGAACATCCCATAATTCTTTTTCCTTTGTGAAGTACAGGGGATTGAACCCAGGGGCACTCTACCACTCTACTGCACACGCAGGCCTTTTTATTTTGAGACAGGGCCTCACTAAGTTGCTGAGGCTGGACTTGAACAAACACACACACACACACACCCCTCAGCCTCCAGAGTTGCTGGGATCACAGGTGTGCACCACCATGCCTGGCACCATGCTCTATCTTGATTACAGCAGTGTTCAGTGATTTCATTACCAGTTCATTTCTAGATGTTCCATATTTTTAAGAATGTTCTTGAGTCCTCAGAAAGAAACCATTATCACTGTGTTAATACAGTCTGTGCCATGCTCTTAGATTTCAACCCTCTCCTTTGTGTCCCACAGGCAAATACGTATACCAGCCCATGACCCCTGTGGAGCAGCTGCCAAGCACTGAGATTCCTGCCAGGCCTCGGGAACCCACAAACACCATTCAGATCTCAGTCTCGCTCACCGAACACTTTTTGAAATTCGCATCTGTCTTCCAGCCTCCCCTTCCCCCGGACTCCCCCAGGTACTGTATGATTTCAGACCTCTTCATCGACAACTATCAGGTTAAATGCATCAACGGGAAGATGTGCTACGTGCAGAAGCAGCCGGCGCCACATTCCCACAAGATGAGCCCCGAGGAGGTCTCTGCACACGATGCCTTAATTTCAAAAGAGAGCAATACGCCAAAAATAGATCACTGCTCTTCTCCCTCAAGTTCTGAGGACTCTGGGATCAATGCGATTGGGGCTCACTATGTGGAGTCATGTGATGAGGACACAGAAGAAGGAGCAGAACTGAGTTCAGAGGAAGATTACAGTCCAGAGAGCAGCTGGGAGCCGGATGAGTGCACCCTGCTCTCCCCCTCGCAGTCTGACCTGGAAGTGATCGAAACAATAGAGACCACCGTGTGAGTCCAGGCGCCCTGGGACCCACACTGAGCTTTTGTACTTTGGTCTGATGGACCCTTTTCCAATGCTGTTGATATTTTCTACCCCTCCCCACCAACCATAGCAGTTCAGTGGTCTGCTGATTAGTGTCACTCTTAAATTAGTCTTTTAACCAAGACCTTCTTTTTATTACAAACGGTTTTCTTTTGTATCTCGACTTACTTTCTATGTAGCATCTGGTGTCATGGATTGTGACCCAGCCTTAATTTCCCTGGGAACTGTGAAAGCAGTGAAACCATGACCACAGAGTATCATGGATCAAGCGGAGGAGCTCCCTAGAGTGATGGCGACAGTATTTTTCTAATAGCCAGTCCTTTGCAGAAAGACTCTTGGCGTCCTGTGGCATGCTCACGGCACCCCTGTCCTGCTAGTCCCACGGGCAAGCAGCTCCCCAGGGGACAGAGTACCCACTGGTTGATGCCATTCCTCCCCTTTACCCTGCTCCCCACCATCTGTACTGGGTCTGGACCAGAGTTGCCTCCACTTGGAGGACAGCTTGGCCCCGGTAACGGCCAGCGTTTGCACAACCCATCACAACTGGGGCTCAGCTAGACCTTCATGTGAGAAGAGATGACCTCATCCGTTTCATGGTCACTCCAGCTTTAGCTGAGCACTTAACATGCTGCGGGGGCTGTGGGGATACAGAATGAAGATGACCTGATTTCTCCCATGAAGGGCCCACATCCCAATAGGGGACTCTATACCAGCAGCTAGCGGTATCCAGTGCTCTGGGAATGCAGGGGAAGGAGAGGTGGACGTGGCTTGGGGATGGTGCTACAGCATTTGAGCTGGCCGTGTGGGTTCTCCAGCATCTCCCTGCTTTCTTTCATCGTTCTTCAAAACTAAGGAAACACTTAGGAAGTTATTTAGGTATTGTATTTAGGAGGCAGCCACATCTGACATCTTAAGGAAAAAGAAACCAATAGTTTTAGTTAGCATGGAAATGCTAAAAGACAGAAGTCCTTTAGGGATTAGGAATGAATCTAATAGGTTTGATTAATTCTGCTTCATTTGGTTGTATGAAGCATTAGAATGGCTTAGGTGAGAAATGAATTAGAATTCAGTATGATGCATGGATTTTTTTATGCAAATGCAAAAGCAGTTGAAATAGTTCACTGCTGAGTCAGGAGAAAATATTTTGTGTAATATTCATTTACTACACTAATATTTATAGTCCATTGTATATGTTCTCTTTTTTCACACACAAAATAGACAATAATTCTTAGCTCTCTTCAGAATTCTATTCCTAATCTCTATTTTATACCAACTATCCTCATGAGTTGGTTATCTGCCATTTCTCCAAATTTTCTGTGAGGCATAGTTAAGAATCCAGGAACTTTCAAGTATTGCCTAATGAGATGAGAACCATCAGTGCTGCAGAGAGAAAAATGACTCTTCCATCTCCGCTCTCTGGGAGTGTGCTCCTGTGGCACTGTCTTGTGCTCTGTCCACATCTCTCCTGTGTCTTGTTAAGTGTTTTAGGAAAGAAGAAGCCGTATTCTTCCCCAAATCCTCCACTTGGTATCCTTTACAAACTACTTGAGAAAGAATCTGCTTTCCTGGTTATATGTGTAGTCCAAGTGATTTACTAGATTTTTGTTAGGTTTAGGTGCCCCAAACAGCCATAGGGTCGAAGGCAGAGCATGCATCTTCCTTGGAAACCAGCATTAGTTAAAACTTTGCGTGTTGGACGAGGATGCAGCATAAGGTTTCCACTTATTGAAATGTGGAACTCAAAATGAGAACCTGAGAAGGTAGTACTACAGCTTACTCCAGGAGCTTCCAGGGTGGGTGTGAGCCTGAGGGGCTTTCTCTGCTTGGCCCTGGCTGCCCTGTGACCTGGGGACATCTGATGAGCCCTGCCTGAGCTTCTTGGTGCCTCCCTTGAGGGAGTGGCTGAAGGCAGGCATGAAGGCAGTGCCTACAAGGGGCTCACCAGCTATTGTGTACTCAGGGTTGTAATGGCACCCGAGGGCCCTGGCTAGGTGTGCCCCTGGGTGAGCACCTTGACTTTCCCCCCAAAGGGCACAGGCAGGGGGCTGTTTCTCTACCCCGGTCCCCTCAGTTTTCTATTCTGGGCCCATAGCCACAGAGTGAACTCACTGGAGTCAACAACCAGGGCCCCAAAGCCCTGGAAATACATGGTCATGCCTACGTTTCCAGAGCTTGGCTGTGTGTCAGGGTTGGGCCCTTTTATCAGTAATATCTATGACTTTTGTTCAGGTTCCTGTTTTTTAAACTCCTTTACTGCCACTTAGATCAGCCACAATTTTAATGGAATTTTTGGATATGATAATGGTTGATAACCACTTTAAACATTTGCACAGTCTCTTTATAATTAAAAACTCATTAGGCTTCACTTACTGTTTTATAGAAGTACAGATGTTCCCCTTGGATTCTAAATATCAGATACTTCTGGATCTCAAAAAAAGTCTTTTTTAAAATAAGCACAAACAAGAATTTCTTTGGTCCTAGCACTGTTAATGCTAATAACCTGAAATACAATTGAACTGCAATTGTTCTTTATTCTTTCATTCTAAAACCAACTGAGGAGGATATAAAAATGTGTAGTTTCAACTTAAAATCTAGGTATCTTCTGTTCTATAGAATATGAAAGAATTTCTCTGTAATCCTGATATTATATTGCTAATTTGCATAAGCATATTTATAGGCACTTTAGAAAATACTTAGACTGCAATATGTAGTATAGGCATTAAGCACAGTCATGTTAAAATAGATTTTTGATTAATACTTGTACAAAAAGAGAGAGATGAGGGCTTCATCATTTGGGCCTCTTGGAACAGGGCTGGGTCATGTGGGTGGATAAACTGCTTTCTTGGGGCTTTTTGGAAACCTGGCACCTTTCTCGCTTTTAGCAAGTTGGTCTAAAGGCTATTAGGCAGAGGCTTAATTTCACTAAATGGAGAATTTTGCTTTCTTATCTAACCAGGATTTCAGAATTTAAATTTCAAATATGCTTACAACTTTTCTGAGAAACGACAAAGCAATTAAAGTGCTTTTGTGATTATAACTGTTTGGTACACTGAAAAATAAGGCTTTATTGTCAAATCCAGGTATTTTTTACCTTGTAATTTCTTAAGGTATAATATTGAAAATTTGAGGACAACCCTGTGGGAAAAAGAGTTGCTTTTCTGGAAAACTTGCAGTTCAAGGTCATAGAAAAAACGATGCAGTTATTTCCTGATTTGATCTAGGATTTGTTTGTATCTTGGAAGTGGTAGTTTTATTTCTTAATCTCCACTTCTTCTTGGTCTATTTGAAACGTCACAGTCCTTCTGGGACTGATCATAACAAACTCTTTTGCAAATTTAATTCTGTTTGGGGAATAGGATACAACCAGATACTTGAGGAAGCTGTCAAAATACCCAAATGCGTTTGGCAGTGTGGATACCACTGGGCAAGAAAAAAAGCACAAGTTAAAGGAATGTTTATATTGTCCCTTCTTAATTACTCCCACATCCTGTTTGCAAAATTTTATTATCATGTTTTGGCTTTTCACAGGAGGAACACAGTTTGCCCATTTTCTTTCCTACCCCCTTGTCCAGAGGAGGTATGAACCTGAAAGGAAGTGGCCTGTTGTACTTTGGCTTTTGGTAGTGGGTGGCCTCCCTGCCATCGAGGGTGAGGCTGTGGGGGAGGCCAGGTGAGCCCACTCACTTGTCAGTGCCACCCACTCGGGGATGTCAGTTTTCCTTGAATCCAAACATAAATACAAGGGCACTTCTCAAAACGAATTCACCATGTAAAAATTGAATCATGATGATGGAAACTGAGCGTCGGTTGTGCTGGGGAAGGGCCCCCTTCCTGCCAGCGGGGGCGGTTTCTGGAGGAGGAAGCAGTGCTCTTGTCCCCCGCCCCCCCCCCATGGACAAGACAGCCAGCTGCCGCAGGAAACCCATGGCTGCTGGTGTCTGTGGAGGCTCCGTGTCGTTCACGCGCGCTGCTTAAGGCTGTTCACACCTGGCGATGTTCACTTACTGTGCTGTTTTTTTTTAAACTTGTCTATTTTAAAGTTTTAAGCACAATGTTGACCCTTCTGTAACTTCCTAAAATTACATTGTTTTCCTAAGACAGCTCAACTTTCCTTTTGTGTGTAATACTTTAGGAAAACACTGCCTTGTGAAATAAACGTGATTTTTTTCTTCTTTTGTACTGGAACAAATCTGCTCTTTGAGTGTGGCATCTCCCACCCGCCACCCCCCATTGGAGAGTTCTAATTCAGATGACAACCACAGTGTGAGCTGGAAACAAAAACCCACAGTTTCAAAATGTGAGACATTTATATTGAGTGTTTACTGCAGTTTATGCCCATTTAATATCCCATTTAAACTTTACAGAACTTCATGAAGTGCAGGTGGATATTGTTATCTACACTAGGTGCTTGTGGTCGTTACTCCCAACTCCCAGAAGTCTTTTTAACAAGGACTTTTTTTTTTTTTTTTTTTTAGCTATGTTAGGTTTTACCCAATAAAACTTGGTATTCTCCATAAATAGCATTTATTTCACACACAGTTACAAGCTTTGTATTCAGTTAACTCGGGTCCTGTAAGATAGTTCTCATGTAGGGGTGCAGTGAGGGCAGCTGCTGCCTGCAAGGCCCTGGATACAGGGCACCCCCAAGTCCAGGAGCTCAGTTGTTTTTATTTGACACACTAGAGAACAGCGTTAGGGCTGCTTTCTATCGAATAGCCTTCCTAGAGACTCTTGTAAATCATCAATAATAAGTGTCTGTCAATATTAGTAATCATAGCTCAATAGCTACCTTACTGCTTTCTGTGCATAATCACAGCACCCTGGAGGGCAGATTTGGGCACCCATTTCACAGATGAGGAAGAAAGCTCATGTCATTCACAGTGGCACCACTTGTCAATCTGGGGAGCCTGGATTTGAACCCAGGTCTGCTCAGGAGTCATTCCTCTTGGCTCGTTGCCTGCATTACTCCATTGGGGGTCCTATCCCAGAAAATGGCTTCCCACCGCCTGGTGGCTCTCCTTATCCAGCACAGCTATTTCCCAGGAAGGAGAAAGGCTGACATTCTTCCCTCTTCTTTCCTCACCCCGCTTTTTTGTGCTTCATGCAGACCTCCCCAACACAGAAGCACATGAGCGTGTACACACACCCCCCCCCACACGCACACTTCTGTATATATTTCAAGGCTCAAATTAGGCCTTGAAATATATACAGAAGTGTGTCTTCCATGTCAATCATATCCTGACCAGCACTCTAGGCTAGCCCTTTTTGCCTTCATGAAAGATAACTTGTTTTTTAAAGTGACTCCTGCAGGCGGCTAATTTCATTTACTGCATGTGCATTTTACTAATTTAGCTCTACATAATTGTACTGCCAAGTTCTGGAAGGCAACTTATTGTAGCCTTTTACAAATGCTGACTGTGCACACTTCTGTCTGCAGTAAACTTGAAGTTAGCATCTTGTCCTCGTTACAGTTCAACCAATGGGAGTTGGTAATGCCTTCAACCCTGGTGTTCCACCCAGTGGTGCCGAATGAAGCAGGTAAGGCAGGACCTCAGGACTCAGGCCTGCTGCAGTAGAGCTCTAGAAGGGGCAATTAGAGGTCAGGCGTAATGCTTCTGGAGAAAGATGTGGGTATACAAGTGAAAAAAAAGTAAGAGCAAAGGCTATTAATGACATTTTTTCTTATTGGCTTTTTGAATTTTCTAAAATTCCGGGACAGCTAACACAGGTGGAGCTCAGTTTTGCTGGCTCCGTGGGTAGAAGTGGGGAGTTCAGACAGTGACTGTACCCACTGTGCACCTGCTGAAGAGGCTTTGGAGACCTGGGGAGCATGTGAGCTAGAACTAACTGGCTTCCCCTAAAGAGTGACCCCATCCCAGGTGCCACAATCATGGCTGGAACATTCATGGGCTAGGTGGGTCTTCCTGTCTGTCAGTTCCCAGCTTGAGCCTCTCCCTGTGAAACTGGAGATGGCAGGTCAGAAAGCCTGAGCTCAGGGGAACATCTTAGCCCTGACTGCCACCTCGCCTAGCACCTGATCCAGAACCCCAGATGATTGTCTAGGCAGAGATCTGGAGCTCCCCCTCAAGATGATGACGAAACACACAGCCCCGTGAATCAGTGGAGTAGCACAGCATGCAAAAAGGGACCTAGAGTTCAGGAAGGGTTTCCCCAGATGGCAGTGTCTGTGCCATATCTAGCAACTGTGTGGTGATGGGCAGGGATGATTGACAGTTTATAGCTGAAGCAGGCAAGTTAAAGTTGGATCCACGATGGTCCCATGGAAGGTAAGTAACAAAGCCAGAACCCCTGGCCCAGCTGATTTCAGTCTAGCCTGTGGGCCTCTCCTGTGGTCAGGCCCCTGAATCAGACCCATCCTGCCCTGGCCTTCCCTCACTGGCTCTCTCCCGCCCTTAGCTGCAGCCAACGCCTCACAGCCTGCCCACCCAGATGGAGGCCAGCCCTGGCCGTGGAGGCAAGTGCAGGAGCCTCTCTCAAGCTGTCTGCTGCTCTCAGTGACCTGAATGGTTGTCAGGTGGCTCTGGCTTTGTGTCAGCATGGCTTGATCTCTACCTGAGTCTGGTACCTGAGACCCAGACTCTGTCTTTTGGTCAGGCCTGGTCCCAGGATTTAAGAACTCATCTTGGTTATTGGGCTCGGAGGTTGGCACTATAGGAGTCAGCTGCTTCCGTCTCCTCCTGCCCCACTGAGGCCCGTGATACCAGCTCCTTTCATCAGTGATGACTCTCCCCAGCGTCACTCCAGTCCCCTTGGGCTCACCTCCTGAGCCAGGCCGCTGCAGGCTGTGTCTGGTCACCCTGGTGGGCATCTCTGTCTGCCACAAGCAGCCCTGTGCAGCAAACAAACAGCTGAGTTTCTACCCTCATGTTTACAAACTGCCCGTATAAACTGATGCCCAAAACCACAGAGCAAATGTAGGCAGCGCCCTTCGTCTGCAGAAGGACCTGGAAAAGTCATCCCAGTCTAACAGCAGGGCTACTCTAGGAGGCCTGCATCTCAGAAACCCTTGAAAAGGCCCAGAAGGGGCCCCATGGTATCTGGAGAGCAGTGTCACTGAGGCCTGGGTGTGATCTGCCCGGGGGATACATCTGTTAGACCTGGGAATCTGGAATAACAAGGCGACTCCAGCAATGATTTAGATGCTGCATGGGTTTCCCTGGGTGAACGTGGCCAGCAATGGGAATCTCTGGACAAGTCACTGAGAGGTCAGCACATGATCAGTGCGTTCAGATAGAACTTACTGAGGTCCCTTCAGATTACTAGGGACCCCTAAGGGGTCCGTTCTATCCCATGAGAATTCAGTCTCTCCCCATAACCTACATATCAAGAACCGTAGAGAGGCCATGAATTCCTGGAGCTGTCCTGGTTCCTGTTTCCTCTATCTGGGCCCATGGTGTCTTCCTCAGATGAGCTACTCACAGAGGGACTAGTGGGGTCATGAAGAGATCAGTGATGGCAAACGTGACAGTGGGCACTGGTTGGATGGAAGTCACATCTCAGGTAGAGGAGAGAGTGGGTTATGGGATGTTGAAGGGTGACGGACAGCTCATTCTTTCAAAGAGAAGAGGAAAGACTGGGTTCCAGAGTTTGAGATTCCAGAGTTTTCTGGAGGTTGAGGTGTGGTCTCCCAAGACTGGACCAAATCCTGACCTTTGACATGGGTATAATGCAGAGTTCTGAGGGAAAGGGTGTCAGCAATGGGGGTGCCACTGTTGGCTTCTTGATTGTGTAGAAGTGGCTCAGTGTGAAGCCAAGACCCCCTGCCCCTCGCTCCTGCCCTGGTCAGGCCAGGCCCAGTCCCACCCCGCAGCCTAACAGCAGATCCTGCCAGGTTCTGAAGCCACCTCTGTGCTGGCTGAGGTAGGGTAGCAGGCAAATGGTGGGGTCTTATACTTAAATCCAAACTCAGGAAAGTATTTGGAGGGAGGTGGGGTGTGAACCATCGCCCGTCGTGCCCATCCTCTGAAGCAGTAGACACTCATTCATGCGGGCATTCAAAAAGGCATTAAACATGTCTCCCCCTTCCCCTACAAGACCACTCCCAAGTTTATACCTAAAAGAAATGTATGTATGTGTTCACGGAAGACAGGAACAAAAATGGCAATAGGCCATCACTGGATGTAACCCAAATGCCCATTAACAAAAGAACGAATGGACTGTGGTCCGTCACAGCTCAACAATGAGAACACACAACGTGGGACACTTCAAACAATGTTGAAGGAAAGAAGACATTTCTAAAAAAGCATATGAAGTATAATTCCATTGGTATGAAGCTCAGAACATGCAAAACTATGCTGTTAGAATTCAGGACACAGAGGATATCTGGAGTACTGGTCATTTCTAGGTGATTGATCTGATGCTGGTCATACAAGTGTGTTCACAGTGAGTCCAGTCACACCATGGTTGGTGAACATCTCTAATTCAGAAACTTTACTCGAAAAAGACAGTGACTTTGAAGAAAAGATGGTGATACCTGTTTCCAGCAGACCCCGACATGTACTTGTCACCCAGTGAACAACTTCACTGTGCCTGGGAGGACACGGGATGCACCAAACAAAATCCACCTCAGTGGTGGGCAGGGTCAGGTGTGGGGTGTCCCCTGGAGCATGTGGACAAGGTGAGAACCCCATGGCCATTTTCCTCGGGACCCAAGGATAGCTTCATAGAGGGTGAGTGTGTGGAGGAAGCTCGGGGCAGAAGGATGGCCCTGGATGCCCTGGGGAGGAGGGGCCGCTGGGATGTAGAATGTGGGGAGCACATCTGAGCTGGGGCTGCCGCAGAGCTCAGGGGTGCTCAGACTCCCCAAGGCCTGTGGAGTCCCCCCCGGCCTGCCTGGAAGAGTCCCCGGGGGACCTTCGCTGCTCTCTGGGCCCAGGCATCTGATTCTGCAGCTGCATCTCCGGGAAACGATCCTGAGCAGGCAGAGCCGAGTGGAAATACACTGCTTCCAAAAGGATCCCAACGCTCTGAATTATTCATTCACTGGAGCATTCATCATTGATGAGGCCCCAGCCGGCTTTTCGTTTCCACAAACTCCTTCCCCCACCCTTCCCACAGCAGGCTGTTTTGGTCACATGGGACCTTTGCTGTGGGTGGAGATTTTCTAAGGGTCCAGCAGCCTTCCTTGGCTCACACAGATTAGGGGCAGGGTAGGGCTG